ACGTGCAATCCGTAAAAATGGTTTTTGCACAGACAAATCATGACGATCTGAGAAGGTATAACGCCGCTACGGCTAACGAAGTTGCCGCGATTTACGTTGGTAACGATGAGGAAATCCCAGGAAGGCGTCTATTGGTGGTTCATGATCGCCAACAGGGGCTCCGAAACATCAGTTACCTGGACAAAAACTGTGATCCGATGTGCTATCCACTGCTCTTCCCATGGGGAGATTTTGGATGGCATCCCGCACTAGACCGCGTTCAACCTGCCGGATCGGGGCATACACGAGTCACTCAAATGGACTTTTATGCCTATCACGTATTCAAACGCCCAAACGTTCCATTCAACCCATTGCATCATTCATGCAAATTGTTTCAACAATGGTTAGTTGACAGCTGGATCAAAATTGAGCAAAACCGCTTGGACTTTCTGAAGAAGGGGCAGAAACCTATGCGACTCGATACTTTGCAAGGACTACGGGACCATCAGAATGACCCAAACTCTGCGGGACCATCTGGCCAGAAGATCATCCTCTCCGCAAAACACCAAGGATCCCCACGGAACCAGTCGGAGGGCTATAAGAACGCGTTGGCAATCATGCAACGCTACGGAAAGCCTGACCTTTTCCTAACTTTCACGGCCAATCCAGGTTGGATCGAGATCACAAGGGAATTGGAGCCAGGACAGACCGCAATGGACCGACCAGATTTGGTTGGCCGCGTGTTTTATCTGAAGATGGATCAATTGGACGATGAACTAAATAACAAACATATTCTCGGACAATTGATGGCTTACGTAAGCGTGATCGAGTTCCAAAAACGCGGCCTACCACACCGGCACATGCTACTATGGCTCACCCCTCAATGGAAACTCCGCACCGCCGGAGACGTCAACCACCTCATCACAGCCGAACTTCCCGAAGATCCTACCAGCCGACTTTATGCAATTGTTACCAAATGCATGATGCACAGGGCCTGTGGTTTGGCAAACCCTGACTCTCCCTGCATGAAAGACGGCGAGTACTCGAAAGGTTTTCCGAAGCAGTACCAGAATGACACGGTCATCAGTAACGACAGTTACCCCAAGTATCGTCGCCGGAATGACGGCCGCACCGTCATGAACGGTGGTGTGCAGCTTGACAATCGGCATGTCGTACCATATAACCCATACCTCCTGCTACGCTTCGAGGCCCATATCAATTTGGAAGTTTGTGCTTGGTTTAACGTGGTCAAGTACCTATTTAAATACTGCTACAAAGGGACCGACCGAGCTAGAGTCTGTCTCCAGATGGGAGTGAACGGCTCGAACCAAAATGGAAATCCAAATAACCCCGCTGATGCAAATCCAGTGGTCGACGAGATCAAGCAGTTCATCGATGCCCGTTTTGTTGGGCCCAATGAAGCTGTCCACCGCATGTTGGGCATGAGAATGGACAAAAAGAGCGATGTAGTGCAAGCACTGATCGTTCATCTCGAAGATTAGCAACCAATCGTTTACGATGTGAATCGTGCGGACGATGCATTGGCGAATGCCGAACTGAAAGATACCACCTTGACAGCGTGGTTTGCCAAGAACAAAGAAATTCGTGAAATGGAGGAAGAACTTGGCGCTTTACCAGCTGGAATCCTGGATACCCGTACCATCTATTACGTGGAGATGCCCGAATTTTACACCTTCCCGCCATCGAGCAAAAAATGGAACCAGCGCAAGCGCCTGACTGAACGCACTATCGGACGTATTCACAACGTCTCGCCCAAAGACCACGAAGCCTACGCGATGCGAGTGCTACTACTCTATCGCAAAGGAATTGAAAGTTTTGAAGACATGCGCACGATCAACGGCGTTGTCCATCGAACTTATGTGGAGGCGGCCCGGGCAGCCGGGTACCTTCAAGACGATGGACATAACCGACGATCAATGCAAGAAGCCGCAAACTATCAGATGCCCGACCAACTGCGCAGTTTTTTCGCGATGCTTTTGGTGTACTGCGAAATGTCTGACGGAGTTGCACTCTGGAACGAATTTAAAGATGACCTAATGGCTGATTACGTCCATCGAGGCTTGCCACTTAACGTCTGTGAGTCCAAAGCCTATTGGGACCATGGCGATAAGCTGGCCTTACAAGGACTCGACATCAACCAGGCCCTTGGCCTGAACATTCCACAAATCAACGGACACGATGCTCCTGTTGACACAGAAGCTCATCGATTGGCCGGAGAAGCAATGTACGCACAGCTGAATGGAGAACAGGAACAAGTGGCTAAGGCTGTACTCGAGGCCATTGAAAATCCACAAGGGCAATGCTATTTCATTGACGGACCAGGGGGCAGTGGAAAGACTTTTGTCTACACTTGCATCAACCACCTCGCAACCTCAAAAGGTAAAAAAGTGGACTGTGTCGCCTGGACCGGAATTGCTGCAAATTTGCTTCCAGGCGGAAGAACAGTCAATGCCACATTCAAATTGAATGTCAAGCAGGATAACAAGATCAGCACTATGAAGCGGCAATCCAAAGAGGCCCGCCTTCTTGCGGAGACGGATGTCTTCATTTGGGATGAAGCTCCAATGGCACCAAGCCATGCCCTTGAGGCGGTGGACGCCCTCCTTAAAGATATCATGCAAAATAATCTGCGGTTTGGCGGAAAAATCTTCCTTCTTGGAGGTGATTTCCGTCAGGTCTTACCAGTTGTTGAACGTGGCGGACGCGGCGATCAGGTGGCTGTGTGCCTCCGTAGGTCGACGCTCTGGCCTGAATTCGTACAATTCACCCTGACCCGGAACATGCGGGTTCAAGGAGACGACAACGACTGGAAAGAATGGGTCCTCAAAGTCGGAAACGACGAAATCCCAAAAGATGCCGATCAAAACATTGAAGTCCCTCCAGAAATCCGGAGCAACGGAGATTTGGTCAACGAGATCTTCGGACCTATCATCAGAAATGGTGGCGATCTGGCAGATGCTGCCATTTTGTGCCCAAAAAATCAGCAAGCCCTTGAAATAAACAACAATGTGCTAGAAATGCTTCCCGGTGACCTCCATCTAGCCCGAAGCATTGACGAGGCAATCACCAGTGACCCCAGAGACTCATATCATTTTACCACCGAACTAATGAACTCAATGACTCCGACTGGCCTCCCGCCTCACGAGTTATTTTTGAAAGTCGGAGCTATTGTCATGCTACTTCGAAATCTGGATGTGCAAAACGGTTTATGCAACGGTACACGCTTAATCATTGAACAGATTCAAACTCGGGTTCTTCTTTGCCGTTTCGCAACGGGTTCCCGCAAAGGAAAGCAAGTCTTAATTCCTCGGATTGACTGTCAGTACGAGAAAAGTCTTCCATTCACCCTTAAGCGCAGACAATTCCCAATTAGATTAAGCTTCGCAATGACCATTAACAAAAGTCAGGGGCAGTCATTCGATCGGGTCGGCCTCGACCTGAGTACCCCGATTTTCTCCCACGGGCAGGCCTACGTGGCAATCTCGCGCTGCAAGTCACGCGAGGGGGTTAAAATCTTGGCGGCCAACAACAAGATGGCCAACGTCGTCTACCGGGAAGTCCCCGCGGACTAGCCCGGATCTTCTCTCGGCCCTCTTGGCTTCTCCGGAGTGCCAACTGATAGGCGCCGCCATCCCCCAAGGTAGTGTATCGAAATTTCTCCTGACTATCTCCATTCAGAAGCGCCTCTGACCACTTCGCTCCCTTCCCATCTCCTGCTCATCTACCCCGAGGAGTTCGAGCCAAGCCGCCCGCCCAGCCACTCGATCGTCTACCCGCCCCTGCCTACTACAACCTACTAGATCCTGCTCATATCTCTGTCCCCCGTCGTTCTCCCTTCCTACACAATTTCCTGTCGTTGTATGATAAATGTTGCTTCCTATACACGGTCCCATCAGCCTGAGAATTAAACTATTTCTAACGGTGAAGCCTGTGTACAGGGCCTAGACGGGGCCAGGGTTGATTCGGCGGCTAGGCCGCCGAATCAACCCTGGTTCTATAAAATTAAAAATACAGACACTAGACTACATACAAATGACACGCCAAACTACAAACTACAGACTAGGGACCGAACTACTGACGACAAACTACAAAAACCCGTTTAAAACGAGCTAAATAAAAGACTACAGGGTGTCCCAAAAAAAAGGACACCGGCCGCATTTCTCTATTTCGCGTCCGATCAACTTAAAATTTTGCATGGAGGTAGCGAAGCCAATTTCCCATGAACACAGAAAGTTTCAGCCGCATCGGTTAGCGGATTTTAAAGTTATAACGAAAATACTTTTTATTTTTTATTTAATATGGGGACTTCCGCAATTTGCATCAAAAATGTGCGTAATTTTGTCATTTACGAGCTGCCTTTGCATAATTTTTGCCGAAAAAGGCCATTTGCTGTTTTGCGCTTCGTAAGAACGATTGCGCATGAGAAACAAAATACTGTGAAAACAACAGTTTTTCGAGCACTCAAACAAATTTTATTGAAGTTTTGGTCAGTTGGACCTGCCTTGGACTCGATCCGGCATTCGACCAGCGCCAAATTAATGCTTAAATTCAAATCGAGGCTTTAAATCTCTGCGTAACCCGAAAAATATATTAAAACGACCGGTGAACGCATGCTACAAGACTGGTTTCTTATATCTGACGGTTTTGTGGATCATTTTTACTTCCCATGCGCAATCGTTCTTACGAAGCGCAAAACAGCAAATGGCCTTTTTCGGCAAAAATTATGCAAAATCAGCTCGTAAATGACAAAATTACGCACATTTATGATGCAAATTGCAGAAGTCCCCATATTAAATAAAAAATAAAAAAGTATTTTCGTTATAACTTTAAAATCCGCTAACCGATGGGGCTGAAACTTTCTGTGTTCATGGGAAAATGGCTTCGCTACCTCCATGCAAAATTTCAAGTTGATCGGACTCGAAATAGAGAAATGCGGCCGGTGTCCTTTTTTTTTGGGACACCCTGTATAAACTACAGATTGGGCCACAGACTAAAAGCTACATACCAATCGCCTCCTCCGCACAGCTCTTCCCATCCCATCGGCTATTTCCAGCACATTGACACCGTCCGGCTTTTCCTCTTTGCAAATGGCAGATTGCCGAGAGATGAGCACATTCATTCTAAATATATCATATCGCGTAAGTGGATGTCAGTTGAAATTTTGGAAAGCTAAAAATTCAGAAAATCTCTTACCTGATAGCTACACGTCGATCCGATCGTCCGATTCTGCGGACTTTGGGCCAAGGGGGTCTTCTGGCGATGTGAACGGTCGAGGGGAGGGGAGTTCAGGATTTCTAGAGTTTCAATAGGGGCGGTATAATCGATTACGCGATATAAAAATTGGCGCACAATCGATTACGCGATGAAATGACCAGATAAAATGGGTTTTTCGCTGGTTTTTTTCGAAAAAATTCTATCTCAATTATTGATTTTTTGAGTGAAATAAAGCAAATTTCAAGGGTTTAATCGATTACGCCATGTTTTTCTAAACCAGAATATCAAAAAGATTACCTTGCGGACATATGCCCAATCCCACGGCGACCAGATCAATCTGATGTTTACAGGCGAATAGCCTCAATTCACATGGACCATCATAACTCTGGCCATCAGAACCACAAACTGTCATATTTGAGGCGATACCTTAATTGGAAAGTATTAAATAGAAATAAAAAACGTTGAATACCGTATGCCGATACATCACATTTCATATCACACGCACAACTCGGCAATTCCCCGGGGGAATCGAGACATTTCGCCCCGTGCAGGCAACGTTGCTCTTTGCAATTTCTGAAAAAGGATATAAATGCGAATTTTTACAAGGTAATCAATAGATCGCTTACGCAATGTAAAATAACGCTGATTACGCAAAAAAGGTTTTTTTAGTAACTCTATGAGCTTGTCGAGTCCGAAAAGCGCTGAAATTACGAAATTGTAGGAATTTTTGACTGTATAAAATTTACTACTTATCGTATAAAGCTGTAAAAGCGATCAATTTATGCGCTTTTTCCTGGGCTACAAAATACAACCTTTCTATAGCTTCGAAAACTTGATTCGGTCGACAAAATTGGCAAAAACGAGCCGGATCTGACGACAAACTCATGAATTCCCACCTGGGCGCATGAAAATGATGGGGTGTCACGCATCCTTGTTGGGTGAGGATGAGCCCTTCTTGACATCGATCACATTTATCCCCTTCAGCCCCGGGTAGACATTCACATCTCCCGGTACTCTGCTCACAATCACCACGAGAACCACCGAATGAGGAGCAGCCACATGCTGAAAAGGCAGACAATGGATTGTATTAGCTCCAGATTGATAAATAATGGAATTCTTAAGGCAATTTATAGTCAAACTGAGCTAAAAACTACTGAAAATTACCTGAAATAACGTATTTAGTACGAAAAGCACGCATTTAGCGTTTTAAGAAGTTTTTCTAAGTATATAAGGTATTTCAAAGGTTCCGCTAGTCAAACTGGACTACAAACTACCGCCAAATAGACTACGAATTGTTTTTAGCGGTAAAATTTCTGCTATAGGTTTTTTTCCTTACGTTCAGCTAGATACGCCGGGTATTTTCAATTTTTCTGTAGCTAGTATGGCCACCAAACTATAAAAAATAAACTAGAAACCCGATTTTAAACACCTTTAACAATTTATAGAGCCAAATAGTTACTTACGAGTACATGACAAGGCGCCCTTTGCGATCAGATGGATCCCCCAGAATCCCGGGACACAATGGTCACATTTTGATCCACCAACTCCCGGACGACATCTAAAAACCGATCGATAGATTTATAGCAATGAAATGTATTTAAAAATTGCATTAAATTACATACCTGCACTGGCCGGTGGAATCACAATTCGGTCCGTAACTCCCGACGCGATTACACGAGCAACCGTCTAAAAAAGTGATATAAACTTTTATCGATAGATTTCGTATAAGATATCAAAATTTGCTTACCGGTATCACTATTCCCATTGGCATGACATTGTGCCATTTCCACCCTCATAATGGGGGTTCCCCGCTGGCAACTGGCCAACTGGAGATGGCAGATTGTCGGGTAGAGAGTTCCGTCTTCACCACAAACTCTGAATATCCACTTTTTAGTGTAATTTGAGGTATATTTCTATTAACTGGCATGCAGTTTACCTGAACTCATGTTTAAAAAATTAGTTGGCGCTCAGTATATCGAATTATGACATGAAAATACGAATTGGCAGCCAGCCTATCGAATCACGTCACGAAAAATGTGAATCAGAAACCAATTAAATTAGTCTGCAACTCTAGACACAAAATGACACCCAATTTAGCCATTTTTGACGTCAAACTACAAATTGATACCCAATCTAGCTATTTTTAACACCAAACTACAGATTGGTACCCAGTTTATCCAGTTACGACGTGAAAATACCTACCTGGAGCTGTCAGGGGCAGATACGGGACAGTGATAATTACAAGTGCATACACCCCCGCGACACTCTTGCCCATAGCCACATTCCACGTTTTGGCAAGCGTCTAAACCGATTGATAATCAGAATTAAAATCAATAAAGCGTTATCGCACCGCATTTCCCAGCAAAAGCAACTACGACAAATTTCCTCCGCTGGCAGGCACTTCTTCTCAAATGGCATTCCGAGGAATATGTGACGCCATCTGTGCCGCATACTGGCCCTTCCTGTAAAAAATAGCTTAAAAATAGGATCTTAATTACAATTTAAGAGAATTTATATGTTGTAATTAGTCAAGCTGTTCGGCGAATCGATTACGAAATGTAATAAGCATAAAACCTCGTTTTTTAGAATTTGAAGGGCATAGTACTTTTCAATAGGCAAAATTATTCCACTGTTCCGGGTCTAACCGCTTATGCCATGTAATAAACCATTAATATTGGATTTTGGGTTTTTTGAAGGAGCAGATAGAAATTTTCGCGACACGTTTAGCCAAACTGCTATGCGTAAAATCGATTACGCTATGTAAAGCGCACGAAAATACTGTATTTTTAAATTTTAAGGTTGCAATAATAGTTTTTACTCGAAAATTGACCAAATTGTCGGGGGTATAAGCGATTACGCCATTTAATAAAGATGAAAACGTCCTTGTTTGGAATCTTCACGGCTAATTTAACTTTTCAAAAAAAATTAGCCGAACTGTCGAGGGTATAAGCGATTACGACATGTAATTCGCTCGTACCTTTCCATTGCTGTTCCCTTGCTGTTGTTGATTGTTATTGACAGGACATTCAATAGGACATTGACATGTCCCTGTACCCTTTCCATCAGACACACAAATCGAATAGAATTCACATTTGTCGCGCAGTTTCTCGCAACCCTCTAAAATACTGCATTCAATTACGACACCTATATCCATACCACAGATTCCGTTATATTTCACAAACAGAGATTGCCCTGTTTTGCATGCCGTCTGTCTCAATCGGCACTCATTCGCGTACGTTTGACCGTCACTTCCGCATACCTGTAACCGGTTGTAGTTTGTAGTTTTGTCGAAAATCGAGTTTTTGACCCATTTTTTGGTGTGAAAATGTCTACTGCAGGTTAGTTTACGTTTCTCGACCTCGAACTCGCTAAAAATATGGCATTTTAATCGAGTTTTTGGCTGCATAAACCAAACGATAAAATGGAAAACTGCATAACCGAAATCTTGTCGGTCACTTTAAAAATTAAAATCCTAGCGATCGAATATTGTAGTTTGTATGCTAATTAGATGAAAACTACTGTAAAAATCCACTATTAATCCGACTTTTAAGTTTAAAGGTCCGTGTAATCCATCAAAGCCCCCCAAAAACACTGACCTCCTTGAGCTCGTCGCCACATTCCGGGCAGACACAGCGCGGTTTGTCGCCTTTTGGAACGCAGACTTGAGGGGCACGACAACCAGTAAATGTTGAACACACGCCAACACCTAGAAAGAGAAAGAAAAGTACGTTAGATTACGGTAATTTGGGCACGGTATAGAATCCCTACCACAACTTCCGGTATGCCGGACAGCCAGCCTCTTCTTCGCCTCGCACCCCGCTTTTCGCATCTCACACTCATTACTGTAGGTTTTGCCGTCCTAAAACTATGTATTGGTTTTTAAAGGACGGTTGAAGACAAAAAACTTGCAGAAATTGAGATTTTTCTCAAATCATTTCCCCTAGCCGGCCCTAACAATATTTTTAAATTTTCTTTGTCTTAATTGGCATGCTGCTAGTCAGTTTATCGTTTAAAAATCAGAAAGCTACTTTTTAAGAACGAAATAACCTACCGTAGCACAGACAGGCTTGACAATCTGCGGACACTCCCCATCACATTCACATTTTGCAGTGTTTTGAGGGGATATTTGGCATCGGGTACCCGGTGGACACATTAATGAGGAGCACGGATTTCCCACGTCTAAAAATAAAAATCGATGTTTCGCTTTTAAAGGGATTGAGAAGGCAGGGCGATCGATTTTTGGCTCTCGCGGTTTCCACGGGTTTTTTGTGTGCTATTTTTGTTTTTTTTTCACGGTTTCCCGGTATAATTGATTACGCAATCGAAATCCGGAGCGTGCGTTGCGTGTTGCGGTGCAGAAAAATCCCCAGTCTTGTCGGTCCCTTTAATGGGGTCGTGCCAGGTAGAAAATCGCCGAATTTTTTAGTAAACTGGCTGTGATACTGTAAAATAAGAATTTATGTACTTTGTTACCTTTACAATTGCCCTCTTTCCATACAGTAATCTGTCGATCCTCTCTACAAGCAGCCACTTTCATCACACAATCATTCTCATAGGTCTGTCCATCACTACCACAGACTGGAGAACGATGCAGGGGACATTGCTGCGAACATCTGAAAATTGATAGATCGAGGTGGAAATGCAGGATTTTAGGCATTTTTCTGATTTTCTGTGTGTCAGTTTGTCTGTATGTCTGTTAAAAAGCCTCTTATCTGTCTGTCTGTTTGTCTGTCGATCTATCCATTACCTGCATTCGGGTCTCCGATGCTGTCCAATTTTACACGTCGTCCCCACCGCACAAACGTGGCCGTCGCATGGATCTGGAGAAAAAGAAGATGGATTTCTCTCTCTCTCTCTCTCTCCCCTCTTCCAAAAAAACTCTCACCGCATTTCCCATAATATTTCAGTGTTATGTTGAGTTTTGTCTCGCAGGCATCCTGCTTTAGGTGGCAGAGGGACTAAAAAGCGTTATATAATTTTTATATAACTTTTTAGTGTCATTGAATATTATGCTGGCTTCCAGTGTATCTATTTAAATTCAGAAAACGAAATAAAAATAGGTTTTTAAAAGAATTATACCTTGTAATCCTTGCCGTGAATCGAGCAAACTGGAGAACTTTGAACGGAATCCCCGTAATTAGGGCAATGAGTGGGGCAGATACAATGGCCGGAGAGGATACTGTTTTTCTAAGAAATTTCGTTAAATTTTATACAGAAAAATACAGTACCTGTTCGACGATACAATCCTCCCCGGGGCCACATCTCAAATCATCACACGGGTTCTTCTTTTCTGCAATCAATAAAATAGTAAAATACCTCGAAAATCGGTAATCTCTATTCGATTACGCTATGAAATGACCAAATTCGGATCGATTACGCTGCATAATGCGGTGTGTTTTTAAAAAATAGATTACGATAGAAAAAATTATGGACTAAAAACCCTGAAAATTGCCAAAAAATGAACAACTCCGATTACGCTGTCAATCCTCCAAAAACTTGAAATCGATTCCGCTATGTAATTCTATCTATCCTAATTGACGAGCAGAAAGCTGAAATATCACAAAAAGATATAAAAATTACCATTAGAATATTTGAAACAGCCATCCGTTGATGTAATTAGTAGAAAGACTACGAGATACCCCTCCTTACACCCCATCCGAATAGCGGAATGGATCGGAATTTGGAAGTGGACGAAGAGGAGGAGGAGTAGGAGAAGGAGGAGTAGGAGGTTGAGAGTCAACCCATTCCCTTCTCTCAACTTCACAACTCAATCATGGCACCCGGGGGAATAGAGGAAGGGCAGAAGAGGGGGGAGGGATTCCATTCCATTACTCTTTACACCCATATCTAGTCCAAAATCGCGCAAGTGAGCATGGATTTCGGGAAACTGGCAGGCAGACAAGGTTCAGGATTAATTTGAAGCCATTCTGAGGGTTGCAAGTGGTTAGGCAGGTTATGCAGGTTTTTCGGAAAAAAATCACTGGTGCTGACTTTGCAGGCCTAGTTTTTTGGGGTTGTCATTTCCGCACCAGTTAAGGTTTCCAAATGCTAAGCTGCCGCCTAATCTGTAGTTTAGAGCATTTCGTAGTCCCTTTCGAGCAAAATTTTGTGTTTTTGGGACCCAATGGGTCTCTCCGGTTATGCAGTTTTCTGGAAAATGTCTTATTTTTGCCCAAAACACAGTCTTTTCGGCCGGTTAAAGTAGGGGAGTGAACTAGATTCTGGTTTGTAGTTTTACGCATTTTGTAGGCCATGTTGAGCACAATTAGCATTTTAGTGACCTAATCGGATGTTCGAGGTTATGCAGTTTTTCGAAAAATCTTTTATTTTTCCTTGAAGGTATCAAAAAACCATCAGTTAAGGTATCGAAGCGTTAAACTGGCTTGTACTCCGTAGTTTCAACCGATTTATACTCCGTAATACACCCCCTCCCCCTGTCTGTCTATGCAATATAGCACCCGGCTGCCCCTTCAAGAGGTCCCTCTCCCTCACCCCTATTTGTGTTCCTCTAGGTGTGAATCAGTGTGCCCCCCATAAATGACTTGTCTGTCTGCCAGTCAGTTAGTCTGTCTGTCTGTCCACATCTTCATCCGATCCCTCCCTTCAGAAGGGCATCTTCTGCCTCTATTTGTTTGCCCTGTGGGGGGCCTAGTTTCGGTCACTGCTCATCCCTTCCCCGCTGCCTATATTCCGCCCCACAACTAAACAACGACTACCGCAAACTGGTAGCTGGATGGAAGAAACGATAAAATGACAGTCAGAGTGTCGATTGATAGACTAAAAATTGAGGTACTTGATTGTTAGGGGGGGGGGGGGAGAAAATAAACCCCCCCCCCAAAAAGGGGTTAAAATTTTTTTGTAATATAAATAGCGACCGTGTGGAAAAACGGTTTTATTATTTCTACGCGTAAAAAATTTTACAAATCTTACAAAATAAAATACAAAATTACAAAAATGTCGACTTTGCGACTGAAAATTGCCAATTTTCGGCCAAAATTTCAATTTTTTAAAGTTTCGCAAAAATGTTCGGCTTTAAATATAGTTAAATGTTGCTAAAAATTTATTTTATTAAAATACTTACTATTGCGTCACTAGGCATTTCTGGAATTATAAAAAAATTTCGGTCCCAAAATTCCGAAAACCACCCACCACAAGCTCCAACTTTTGCCACTCGCAGCACCAAGCCTTTTTTGGCCAGAAGACACGCACGGACCTGTAAAAAACGGTTTATTGACGTTCAGATTGTATTTTGTAGTCTAGCACAGTGTGTACTTTGTAGTTTCTAGTCTGTAGTCTAGCCAAAAACCCACTCCCAAATGACAATGCGATGCATAGGTAACGTCATCACTCCCACACACCACCCTCGGTTTCCGCTCCACACACCGCGTACGGCACTCGCATTCGCCACTGAAACATAAAATAAGGGTTTATACATTTATACGATTTTAAAGGTGGCGGAACAGTTCGGCCATTCTTGGCATTTCACCCCAAAATTGTGGTTATATACCTTAAAAATGCATTAAAACTCTAAACTGCCATCCAGATAAGCTAAAACAAAGGTATCGGTGGGTCCCGCGTTGATATTCAAGTTTTCACTCCCAAAAAAGGCTATATTGGTTGGCAGATAGGCAGCTGGGCAATATCCTAGCGATCCAGATAACCATCCAGCTGTTCTCATGTACCCTCAAATATTTGCTATGAGCATGTTGCTACCCCTCTGCTCTCTCTCTCTCTCTCCCTCTCTCTCCCCTCTCTCACTACCCTCCCCTCACTCTTCTCTCTCTCTCCCTCTCTCCCTCTCTCTCTCTCTCTCTCGTATATTGTAAGTATCTCAACCTTTCCCTCTCAATATTGACAATTTTCAGCTGATGGCCTGGGGGCATGTTCCATGCTCTTCTCTCCCTGTTTGCCATAAGGATTATAATATCTGTCGGTTCCCTTCTATCTAGCCGACCACTGAAAGACCACACAAACTTCTCCATGGCTTCTGATTTGCCGGAATTGATTGGAGTGGTGCGGAATTTCAGCTTGCGAGGAAAAATTCTGGATTTGCCTTGGATTAAACTATTTACTGCCAGCCAGATTACTGATCTACACAATCTAATACAATTTAAAGGACCGCTGAAGCCAAAAATGGATGATAAACCCACGTGGCCGGAGTACACTTCGATCCAAACGGACAGCTCTTCTGCTCACAGAGTACTAAAAATCAACTACAAAATCGAGGGAAGTGCTTACGTGGCTTTTGCTGTCGGCGACGTCGGATTTCGCGGTCTGAAAAATTGTAAATTAGATTTTGACAATCTGGACTACAAACTACAAAACCCCAAAAAAGTTCCCGGCCCCTTCTCCCCTTCGTTCCTTCCCCCCCCCCTGGGGGTTTCCCTTTTTCTAGTTCATAGTTCTGGTCAGCCAGTATTTCTAATTAAAACCCCCCTCCTCCCTTTTTTTAGCGGCTTTAGACCGGGCCTGGTCCGGGATTTTCATAAAGGGCGATTTTTTCCCGTAGTTTTTTGGCCTATAGTTTTCTTCATTGATAGTCAGTATCCTTAAAATCATGATGCCCTATAGATTTTGACTTTAGGGGCCCTTTAAACGCTGCCCATTTGTTAGGGCCATATTGTGCGCGCAGCAGGCTGGCTACTGCTAAACATTCTGGCCAAGCATAGAGAGAGAGAGAGGGAGAGAGAGAGAGAGAGAGAGAGAGAGAGAGAGAGGGTAGCTAATTACAGGAGAGTAGTGTACGGGGGAATACAATGGACCGACAAGGGAGAGGCAGGTGAGGGAAGGGAAGGGCCCATTCTAAGGACCCACCAAATATGGGCAGACACCAGAACGGGAGGGTGTAATTGGACTATTAGCTCTTAACACTACACACCAATATTTCAGAAGAGGCAATTGCCAGCCAGAAGGCGTAAAAATTATAAAAAGAAGTAATTCTATACACTAAAAAATTTAAAAATGACAGGCTAAAAAGGTTGATTATTGCGATTTTTAAAAATTGTGCGATTATGCTATCGTAATGAATTATTTGTTTTAGCCAATTTTCAATGGCTATGTAAGAAATTTGGAACAGGATCTATGCAAGACAAATAAAAAACAAGGTCAATCAGGTCAACCGGATGTTGCGCAATTTCGAGGGCCGATAGACAAAAGGGTCATAATCCGTGGTTTACAGCTATATGGCCACAGCATATCTATCAAATTTGCATATTGGAGGTCAGTTAGAGGGGAGAGAGACACAGAGAGCGAGAGAGAGAGAGCGAGGGAGAGAGAGAGGAGAGAAAAGAGTGGGCGGGAGAAGAGAGAGAGAGAGATGAGAGTGAGAGATACAGCCAGACCGAGAAGGCAAGAAATAGCCAATATTTTAACCTACGTGTAGAAATTGAATGCAACACATCGAGTATCGACAAACTGACCGGAAGAGGTACTTTTGAAAGGTAGAAGGTACCCTAAAAGTATCAATTTTGAAACGTATGTGAGCCAGAAGGCATAAAAATTAAAACCTACCTGTTCATACTGTAGGGCAAAAACTTTCGTATCTCCCTGAAACCACCTCGAGCGACATTTCTGAAGTTTGTACTTTGTAGTCTGACCGTAAATCCAGTTATTTTACCGTTTTCCGGACCTCTTCCGTCACTTTCAACCGGATCCGGTTGCGGTCAGCCACGAGTTTTCGGCCCTTGAATACCCGGTGGATGTCAATTACGGCTTCCTGAAAATAGCTGTTTGGAAAATACCTTACAAATTGAGGAAGTCGCCTGAACAGAAAATTTTTTATTTTAATTTAAAAAAAAATTGAACCCAAACTTTTAAAAATCTATTAAAATGAAATTTGCTATTTCCCCTGACAATAACGGTTAAATCACTCAAAAGTATCGCTATCTCGCTCTCAAATATCTTCAAAACATACCTCTACCCTCAACGTAGCCGTATCGATGGATATCTCATGTACAGTAGCCGTCAATAGGATCGGAGCGGAATGGAATGTGGCATTTAGATGTTTACGATTTAGATGGGGGCAATGACGAGAAGAGAATACGGTTGAATAGACACAAAATAAAAGCAATAAAAATAAGGATTTCCCGGGTTTCATTGTTGGTTTGGACTATCTGGCTGGCATCAGGCGATTAGACAGACAGAAGATCAGAAATCGGGCGTAAATGTTTAGGTAACCGGATTAATAAATTTTTGGCAACACTGTAGGGTTAACTGGCAGCCAGAATACAGGTTTCAATAAGAAAATGAATAAAATAGCTTTTGGTTTGGGCAGTAAGGTGGTTGGGACAGGAATATGGCCCGCGGGGTAAGCGGGTAAGGGGCTGGGGGGTAAGGCGGAAGGGGGCGGAGTCTGGCAGGGAGGGTAAGGGAGAGAGAGAGAAAA